GGGAGTGTTTACAACTTTTATCAGTTCATATTCGAGGCCACTAGGATTTTCTGTACGCACGTCATTCTTCGAGAAAAAACAAAGAAAATCGGCCTTAACATAACCTCATTATTTCTGATATTATCATTATAATTAAATAATATCACTATGTTATCATTACACATCACATCAATTTTAACTCATTATTCATCCAGTCGTATAATTTTAACTAATCATTACTTCACATGATCTTTCTCCTACTTTTACGTCAAATCAACTTTAATTATTGTGTTAAAATATTATTTTAGCATAAACTTAAAATTCCAGTAACAATTAATTATACCATAATTTTTCAAATTAACCCCGAATAACTAAAAAAATTCCGTTTTAATCGGATATATTTGTATCCAAGCACGCCCTAAGGGCTAAGGGCATGTTTGATTTAAGTTTAACATAACCAACAGGTCAAACAAAACCACCAGTTAGGTTTTATTGATTGGAAAGCCCAGACAGTTGTCGGTTGTAGTTTTAAAAATAAAACGAGATGATAGAGTGTTACAGACAAACTTATATTTAATGAAAAAAATATACGATATTGAAAACAATATGTAGTCTGAATAGTTCTCAAAACAATGCATTAGAGACTTATATAAGGACCTCAAAAACTTAAAAATCATATTAAAATAAATAAATAAAATGAAGAACTCGTCCTTTATGATTTTCAGGGACGATCACCCAGTGAATGATCATCGCGGCCCAAAAACTTAATGTCTACATGTTCTACATCAATCTCTCCACTTGAAAAAAAACTGGACCTCGAGTCTGCATAACAAGAAGGATCCGAGGGAAAAATAGCACGATAAGCCAACCACATTGAACGTGTTAGATATGCCCAATCAACTCGGGAAAACTAACTACATAGGCATCATCACTAATCTTACACACAATTTCATATGGTCCATACTTTTTAGTTTATAGTTTCTGGTTACTTGTTGAGTATCCAGAGTTAGAGCCAAAACTAACAAAGGATGGAACCAAAAGAAAGCATCAATCCACTCGATTGAATTAGCTATTAGGGTGCAAAATGCTAGGATTGAAGACTTCGTATTCAAAGCGCGGAACTGAACAACAGACAAATGCTCACGCCAACGAAAAATCATCACCTGATCACAAACCTTGAACAACTTAATGCGTTGATGTTTATCAACCACCTCATTAAATTACTGAGTCGTCTCGATCAACTTCTCATGAACTTTTGCTTGTACTTAAAGTGAAGCTTTTGCCAAATTAAATGCACTGGTCCTATAACCAGCCACATGTGACAACTTCACTAAATCAACCAAATGTCAAAAAACGTCTAGTAAACAATTCAAAAGACGACTTTCCCATTGATCTGAGAACAACACAATTGAAGGTAAATTCCACCCCGCTGTGATATGATTAAATTTTTTTATGCGATGCACACATGAATTAACGTTCTTCATTGAACTAACAACTGGTATCAGAACCCAGCTAACTTAGTTTTTGTGTGTGCTTAAATTAGTTTACGTGAACATACGTGAAATAACTGTGTACCTACAGCGCATAATGGTATAGAATTGCAAATCTTGAGTTTTGTAGGAATTCTACGTCCGACTATCGAGGCGAGACTAGATAGCGACTCGCAGTTTCCGGAGCATGTCAGGTCGAGCGTACGTTGGTGCATCCATGGGCAGTTCATTTCCGCCCGCGAGCGCTACCAGGGCGTGTGCGGATGACTCTATGCAGCTGGGACGAAATACGGGTCGGATGTGGTTAGAGCAATAGGACTGCATGTCGTAGTCGGGCGAGCGTAGAGACGCGAGCGCGCACTTCAATGTGCAGGCTCGAGCGTCAGACCGTGTGAGGCCCAACATCATGTGATGCGCGGAAGACTTAAGAAGCAGTGTTGCGGAAACCTAGGTCTTTGTATGACTTTCTTGTAACTTGCATTGATCGTGCGCATGTTGCGTATGAGAAACCCAGGTACTAAGCTGGTAGCACGCGATTGTCGCATGCAAGCCGAAGCCCTGCGTGATGTCTCCGCGTGCAATGTCAAGGAACAGTGTGGTAGCAGTTGTGGCGTGTCGAGACGTTGACGTCGACTCTTGATGCGACAACAACGATGGCGCAATTTTTCCACGGAAACTAATTTTTTTCCAGCGATGATGGCGGCCCGGTGGCGTCGGTCCAGCAACAACGATGACAACTAGTGACCTGTCGCGGAAGGAAAGTGGGAATTGCTTGGAGACAAGATTCCAAGTCCAAATGAGCTAGAGTTCTACAAGGACTAGAATACTAGCTTTCAAATTGTATTGTGAATAGAGGCCATAATAGTTGAATATCTTTCTTAGTTTATTATGTCTCTAACTTTGCATGTGCCTTAATTTTATTTTTCTTCTTGTGCAAGAATAATTAATTTTGGTAGGAGCATGCTTAGGAGAATCTCTTAACTCAAATTATGCTTAAGTGCATTGTTTGGAATTAAATAAATTTAAATAATACCACGACCTCCATTACATGTTTTTCGGTGAAGTGATTAATATTTGAGCATTGGCATTAGGGTCTTTTCTCCACTAGTGGACAAACTTTAATCACAGTTCACAAGGACAAATTTCCTTCGAGATCGTAGTAGAAAACTATTTCAAAAGCGTATTGGCTTTCCACCGGCGGACATACAATTTTGTAGTGGACTTAGTATCAAGTAATAGGTCACACTTAAAGTACATTTAATAATGGTCTCCCACCAGAGTAGCTATTTTTATTTGTGCGGGCCAAAAGGTGGACCGACTATTAATTAAGTGTTGACAAATTCAACAGGTCAACACAAGTAATTAATGAGATAAAACCCTTTTCTTGCAACGGTATGAACCGTATACATCCACACTACCGTGGCCTGCGAAGACTTTGTGTTTTAGGTGTCTGTGAATTTAATTATTATTTAAGGGATCGATATTTGAGAAATAAATTCGAACTTGACTAAATAATATTTCATTTGCATGATCTCAGGATTTCAAAATATTTAGGGATTCTTTGTCTGCGATTCTCAAAGAAAATAAGCTTAC